TCATGGCACACTTGAACAAAAGGTCAGACAAACGTACCACACCTTACTTTCGTAGGCAGTCCTTTCGTCAACCGACAACCACGCCTATCAGTCAGGCACCCAAGCCATTCACTCCCAGGCAGAACAAACCGTACGGCCGCCCCTACGACAGACCGGGGTTCCAGCCCAGACAACAAAACCAGTCGAGACGACCCTTTCGTGGAACGGGTCGTCCGTACCGGAAGACAAAATGACTCCTACATAGACCTACCCATTGGAGGAAGACTAGCTCACTTCTTCCACCAGTGGGAGCAGACCTCCACGGACAACTGGGTACTACAAACCATCCAGTCCGGGCTGTCCCTGGAGTTCCTGGTCACACCCCCAGACCGACTCATCAACTGCTCGGTCTCCAGGAACCCCACCAAACGCAAACTCATGCAGGAGGCCATCCAACACCTGTTGGACATTCAAGCAATAGAACCGGTCCCAGCGGAATACAGAGGCAGAGGATTTTACTCCATCCTCTTCGTGGTTCCAAAGACTTCAGGAGGATGGAGGGCAATCCTGGACCTAAAAAACCTCAACCGCTACATCACATACAAAAAATTCAAGATGCAATCCCTTCAGTCCATCCTGGGAAGCATCAGAGAAGGAGACTTCCTGGCATCGATAGACCTCACGGAAGCCTACCTTCACATCCCCATCCACCCAAACCACCGCCGGTTCCTACGTTTCTGTTACGGGGGAAAACACTTCCAATACAGAGCTCTCCCCTTCGGTCTATCTTCGGCACCCAGGGTATTTACCAAGATACTAGCAGCGGTAGCCGCCAAACTGAGAAAAATCCCAATACGCGTCCAATGTTACCTAGACGACATACTAATCCAAGCAACATCCCTACAGACAGCTCAGGCGGACGTAAGGACCGTCATTCGCGTCCTCCAATTACACGGATTCTCAGTAAACTTTCAGAAGAGCCAGACAGTTCCCTCGTCCAGGCTGCTGCATCTGGGGGCCATGATAGACACAACCAACTGTATGGTCTATCTCTCCCAAGACCGGGTGGCCGGCATCAGGGAACTGGCTCGCTGGGTTCACAGGCAACGTTCAGTTCCGATACTAACACTTTCCCAATTATTGGGCAAGATGGTATCGGCCATAGCCATTGTACCCTGGGCCAGGCTCCACCTACGGGAACTACAGTGGTTTCTGCTCCCGTACCAACGGCAGAACACCAGCGCATCCAACCACCTAGTCAGGGTCACGGCACAAATCCGCAGGGCGCTACGCTGGTGGTGCTCTCGGGCCGTGACCAAGGGGTCACCCTTCAAGGAACCAGTCAGAGTTACCATCACTACAGACGCCAGTCTGTATGGTTGGGGAGCCCATCTGGACTCCCGGTTTGTACAGGGACGTTGGTCCGCCACGGATCTGAGAAACAACATCAACTGGCTAGAACTCAGGGCTATCCACCTAGCCTTGCAACAATTCAAAGACAGAATCAGAGGCCACCACGTTCTAGTCCTAACAGACAACGTAGCAGCCAAGGCGCACATCAATCGGCAGGGGGGGACCAGATCAAAAACCCTGATGACAGAGTCACGACTCCTATTCAGCTGGGTAGAGCCCAATCTGAAGTCACTAAAAGCGGAACACATATCGGGGGTCAACAACCAGCAAGCGGACTTCCTAAGCCGCACCACAGTGGACCCTTCGGAGTGGGGGCTACACCCGAACTTGTTCCTAGACATCTCCCGCAAGTTCGGGTACCCGATCCTCGATCTGTTCGCATCATCAGACAATGCCCAGCTCCCCAGATTTTACTCTCGTTACTTCAACCCGCGAGCAGAGGGGACGGACGCTCTGAGAACTCAGTGGCCTCAGGGTCTGCTTTATGCCTTTCCCCCACTACCACTCATACCGGCGGTCATCCGAAAGCTGATTCAGGAGCGGGCAGAAGTGATCCTAGTAGCACCATATTGGCCACAGAGACCGTGGTTCGCCGACCTGATGAACCTGTCTCAGTCGCCCCCATGGAACATTCCCCCTCATCAAGTGTCCCTACACCAGGGAACCATCAGTCACCCGGAACCCCAATGGTTACAACTGACCGCCTGGCACTTGAGCGCCAGATAATGGCACAGGAACTATTCTCTCCCGGGGCCATTACCATAATTCAAGCTTCACGCCGTCCGGCAACAAACCGCATTTATGACTCCACTTGGAAAAATTTTTGCCTTTGGTGCAGGGAACGGCAGTTTGACTTACACAAACTCTACATCCCTCAGATAGTAGATTACCTCTTGGAGGGACTAGACAGAGGCCTCGCCCCCGCGACCATCCGCAGGCAAGTGGCGGCCTTGTCCACCCTCGTCACCTGCACGGATTCGGTTCCCTTAGCTCACCACCCCAGGATCCGCGCCTTTATCAAGGGCGCCTATAACACCAGACCTCCAGTAATTCACAGGTACCCGTCCTGGGAACTACCGCGAGTCCTTCACGCACTCACTCGGTCACCATTTGAACCATTGGCGACCGTTTCCTTGCGACACCTGTCGCTAAAGGTGGCGTTCCTGATTGCCATCACATCGGCCAGACGAATTTCGGAACTGGCCGCACTGTCAGTCAGAAACGACCTATGCATTTTCCACAAGGACAGGGTGGTCCTTAGGTTAGATCCTGCCTTCATACCGAAGGTGAATTCACTCTTTCACAGGACACAGGAAGTAATTCTCCCAAACTTCTGTCCAAATCCAACACATGACCGGGAGCGGCAGTGGCATACATTGGACGTCCGCAGAGCCTTGCGGCGTTATATAAAGCGTACAGAACCCTTCCGCAAATCGGAGGCCCTATTTGTGTCCTTCCAAGCGGGCACCTTGGGGCGGAAAGTTTCCGCGGGCACCATTGGAAGGTGGATCCGAAGCTGTATCGCAGAAGCTTACAATGTATCATCCCTGCCGCCCCCAAGTCATCTCACAGCCCATTCCACCCGAAGCGCTGCAACTTCGGCGGCATGGGCTACCCAGGCGTCAATCGAGGAAGTTTGCAGGGCCGCGACATGGTCCTCGCCTTCCCCGTTTATACGACACTACAAGATAGACCGCTTTGCATCGGCGGATGCCTCCTTTGGTAGGAGGGTCCTCCAGCAAGTTGTCTCAGAGATCAATCTACCGGCCTTATCTGTTTCCCACCCCTTGGGACAGTGAGGCTTTGGTACGTCCCATCCGTGGATTATCCATCTCCTGTACTGGAGAAGGGGCGTTGGTCTTACCTGAACGCCTTTTCTCAGTACGGAGATGGATAATCCACACCCACCCCAAGGCCAGCAGGCCGCTAGTAGGGAGCTGAGAGCCAATACCTCGTCAATCATCAGCCAATTCGCCCTCGTTAAGAATGGACTCCACAGGAAGTGGGGGCGTGTCAAGCTTTGGCTACTTGGTCTCAAGAGCAGGCAGACAGAGAAAACCCATCCGTGGATTATCCATCTCCGTACTGAGAAAAGGCGTTCAGGTAAGACCAACGCCCCTTCTAATTTCCCTACATCTTTCTTAAAGTAGAATGATTACTTCTGTTGGTGTCACTAAAATGGCGTTTAACTTTTTGCACCCATATTAATATTGCAGACTCATATTCATTTTGAAATTAATTGATCTAAAACCTTTTTCACAAATACCTTTATCAAACACTTACAACCACACGGTTGTAGGTTAGACTAGAAAGTCAAAAACATCTTGGAAGCAAACCATTTTTTTATTGCTATCCAAAACTTCTACTTGGATAGGTCTTGGATATGTTTGACCAAGAGACAAACTTGATTCAAGAGATTTTTTTTTCTTTTCTTTTCATTACCAGAAACGTTATCGCTATCTTACTCCTACAATATATCTGATCCAAACTAACTTTGTTCTATTCCTTTCCTCCTTCCCACCCCCACCCCCCCCACCTCAGTGTAGCTACTTCTTGTCCATAAAATTGCTGTTTCCATCCATGGGAAGAAAATTCTGGTGAGAAAGATAGTCTTCTCTCTAGGGACCAATATAAAGTTCCCCAAGGAATTATCAAATTTGTAAGAGGAAACAGAGACCAATGAATTAAATCAGCAGAGCATTTGGCATGATAATTAGCAAATTAGTCAAGTGTGATCTGAATGGTATGGCATTTGTATGTATAGCAGGTTTAAAAATCATATGCTTTAAGAGCTTAAAAGTAACAACAGTTTGACAAAGGAACTAGTTACCCTGACTGGTAGACTCGTGTTTAATAGATGTATTCTGGTAAAACTAGACAGCTTTTTGTTTAGAATGTTTTATGTTGGATTTCTGCACTGAGAAGGAAGTTGGACTTGATATCCTATGATTCTGCGGGTGGTAAAACTTAAGTTTAAAGATTTACGAAATTGAATAGACTTGCTGGGCAGTGTTGGCCAGATTCAGATTCCATAGATAAGAAAATGCTATGACTTTGAGGCATTTATTAGCACTCTTCTTCTGTATGTTAATTTTCTCCTATGTATCTCTTTACAGATAGTCCTTGACTTAATGATTATGGTTGGATAAAACCACAATTTCCATTGCTAAGTAAGGCAATCATGTCTAATTTTTTTGCCAGAGTTATTAAGTGAATCACATGGCCATTAAACGAATCCAGTTTTCCTTACTGACTTTGCTGGTTGCCAGGGGCCTGAATTTTGATCATGGGACCATGGGAATGCTGTAAAAGTCATAAGTATGAGTACCGGTTGTAAGTCAGTTTTTCAGTGCCATTGTAACTTTGAATGGATGCTAAATGAATGGTTTAAAGTCAAATATTACTTTTACTATTTTTGATGTGATATACAAGTAAGGCAAGTTATAATTACCAGCAAGTTTAGCATAGAATATATTTTTGGGAGCTAAAATAACCCAATACATGAAAAATATATAAAACCCTTGCCCTTATTTGGAAGGTTATTTCCAACTGGTGCTGAGATTTTATAAAAATACAATGTACTTATTTTTGTATATCATTTGTTTCAGGTGCCTGAACATACTCAACTTAGCTGGATCTTAGGGTGTTTGATAGGCATCCCACGTCTGGAACATTTTCCCCAGTGGAAGGTAAGGCCTTTGAGAAGACAAAGGTGACCTGTCTAGGAAGGTCCTCCTCCATCGTCTCAATAGCCTATTCTTCACTGCATTAACCCATTCTTCTGCCTGTGCATAAACATAAAGAAGAAATGGGAATCCTTGATCATGGGGCAGAGATCACTGAATATTCAAATCCTTTATGTGCCAGATTCTTTTTATTGTACGTTTTGTAGGTTGCTCCTTTACTTTAAAGAATTTGTTTGAATGATCTTCTGATTCTTCAGCACTGGAGATAGATAATCCACGCAGTGGGTTGAGACTGTATTCCTGGCCAATCAGATCAGTCAGCCAAAGTTGCCACGCCCTGTCCTGGACCATGATTCTCCAGTCTTGACTGATCTGGCCACACAGAAAGACCTACAACTTTGGCTCCTGGGCAGGTATAGTTCCTTTCCATTGGGGGGCATTTCTTCTAGTAGCTGAAATTGCTTAGTTTAAAAGTTAATTAGAGATAATTTAATTCAATTTAATTGATTACTCAAAAATTTCCTGGCTAAATTGTAAGACTCAGGAAGTCAGATTCCCTACAGGGGAAACCACTCCCACTTAAAAGGGGGAAATCCCTAACTCCCTTCCCTAACCCAAACCCCAACCACCTTCCAGCAGCCGGCGGCCGCCTTAAACAAACGGGGAGGTTCGTGCAACCCCTCGCGTTAAAAAGAAAGAAAGACAGAAAGGCAGGCAATTAGCGAGGGGAGCGGAGGACAAAGGGGACGCATGCTGGGAGGGAGATTGATTAAGGGAAACAGCTGGCGTGCGAAGGAGCAGTCTCTTTCACTCACCAGGCTGCTCAGGATTTTTAAACGAGGCGCCATTGTCTGCACAGCTGGGAGCACGCGTGGCTCTTTGTTACAACCGCACGTGGCACAGGCAGCCTTTTTAGCACAGGCGCAATAATCTCCTGCTCCTTTTAACACATGCGCAGTAGTCTCCTGGCAGCGGTGGCCATATTTTTGTCCAAACGGGATCTAAGGCTCCATGTGAAGCATAGGTTCAGCCGCTGGAGTGAATTAATAGGCAAGCAGTACTGGGGTACTAAAGCATCTATTATTCATTCAGAGACATTCAAATCAGACACATAGCTGCGGGTTCCAGGACTTGGTGTCTTCAATCTAAAGTAAATAAGAACCTTTCATAGCTAACTGTGTTTAGTTGCCTTTGGCTCCTTCCGGACTTCGGGTCCCCCATTAGTGGCCCGTACGCTTCTGGATTTAGTGGTGGGTTCCAGGCATCCCCAGTCGCGTGCCTGTCCTTACCCACTATAGTCAAGCCGGGTTCCAGGCATTCCCATTAGCGAGCCTGTTCTTATCCGTGCACAGTGACTAACTCTGACAATTTTGCAGAGTCTGCTCCTGAGTTCCAGACGCCCCCAGTAGTGCGCCTGTCCTTACTCAAAGTTGGAGCTCTCCTACTACCTGGGTCCCCCCCTATCGCGGCCCGGCGTTAGTGGAGAATGGAGGAAGCAATCATTCCCTCCACTGGAGCCCCGCCTTCATCCTCTGGAGCACCTGCTTCAGAGGATTCGGAATCCTCTGCAGCCCCTAGAAAGGCTGCAAGGAAGTCATCAAAGAAGGCTGACAAACAGGCAATCAGAAGACACCAAGCCCTAGAAAAAGAGTTCGACAGAGCCCAGAAAAGGGCCAGAATTGAAAATAGGCAGAATGGGGGAATAGGTCCTGATCTACCGCTGGGTCTCCCTTCATCCCCACGGGCCATTTGGTCATTAGGGAACTCATCACAGTCCCAAACAGAGGGTGGGATAGGCGAATTCTCATCACTCTCCCGATCCACCTCCCCACGGAGGTTACAGGAAACCCCGAGGACCATGCTAACCACAGCACCTGCAGGGTCGCAGGCAATGGTTACTCCTCCTGCATTGACGGGGGATCTGCTAGCTTCCCTAATAGCGCAGGCAGTGGACCGTGCATTTGAGGCCAGGGCTCAAACTTCCAAAGCCAAGCCTCTAGGACTTAGAACGAGGCATCGGGAGGAAACGGAGGACCATCAGGACCTCTCCTCCTTCTCAGACTCGTCGGTCTCCGAGGAAGATTACCTGGACCAGCCAGGTACGTCACAAGGGATTCAAATGTCTGAGGAAGAGGAGGGCCGTCACCTCAAGGGCTGTCCTTCAGCGGCCTGTTTAACCCTTCTCTTTTTGTTACCATTCTGCGCAAGGCTGAGGCCACAGCCCATCTGGGGCATGGGACACCAGCGGAGCCTGTCACAGTTGACACGGAGGCTGAGCCGACGTTCGCCGAAAAGGTAACCACTCAACACCGCGTACCATGCCCGACCGTGTTCCTAAACACAATAAGGAAACAGTGGGCAGCGCCAACCTCCCTACGGCTTCCTAGCAATGCGGAGAGGAAGCTATTTAACGTAGCAAGGGAGCTAGAGGGAACATTGGAGGTGCCGGTGGTGGACGAACCCATAGGTCCCCTGATATCGGACACGGCCATATCAGGAGATTTTGCTGAGGCTCTTAAAGCCGAGGACCGAAAGAGTGAGTCCAACTACAGGAGAACGCACCAGGCAATAGCTTGGGCTACCAGGGCGACTACCTCCGCATCCTTTTTCACCAGAGCCACACTTTGTTGGCTCCGTGAGTTACAGGGCCGGGTTCCCATGGAGGATATACGCACTCACCAGGAACTCAGCAAAATGGTAGCGGCCACGGAATATGCGTCGGACGCGACACTTTTAGGAACCAGGTTTTCAGCCAAGGCAATGGCGGCAAACAACCCGAGCAGGCGCATCCTCTGGCTAAAGAACTGGCAGGCGGTGCCTATGAACCGAGAGACCAGGGGTTTTATTCTATCCTCTTCGTGGTCCCAAAACCCTCGGGGGGTTGGAGAGCCGTTCTGGATTTAAAAAGGCTAAATTTCTACATAAAATACCGCAAATTCAAAATGCAGACACTACGCTCCATCCTTGGAAGCGTAAGGAAAGGGGATTTTCTGGCATCGATCGACCTCACGGAGGCATACTTGCACATCCCTATCTCTCTGGCTCACCGCCGCTTTCTACGGTTTGCCTACAGGGGGCACCATTTTCAATACAGGGCACTTCCATTCGGCCTGTCATCAGCGCCCAGGGTGTTCACCAAGATTCTGGCGGTTCTGGCAGCACACCTAAGAAACGTACCAGTCAGAGTCCAGTGCTACCTGGACGATATTCTAATCCAGTCATCGTCCGCCCAGCAGTCTCGGGCGGACCTAAAGTTAGTGATAAAACTGCTGCAGGACCACGGCTTCTCGGTGAACTTTCCAAAGAGCCATCTAACCCCAACTACAAGAATACTCCATCTGGGAGCGGTCATAGACACAAAGGAGTGCAAGGTGTACCTATCATGGGAACGCCTCAGCAGCATAAAGAAAGCCGTAAAACAGGTAAGCCGCGGTCAGTCAGTGACGCTGGTCTGCCTCTCCCAGCTGCTAGGGAAGATGATATCGACCATAGCAATAGTTCCTTGGGCAAGGCTGCACTCAAGAGAACTGCAGTGGTTCATGCTCCCGTTTCAGAGACAGCAAATCAGTGCATCCCGGAAGAGGGTAGGCATACCTCTGAGAGTACGACACTCCCTCAGGTGGTGGCTATCTCCAGCTCTCCTCAGGGGGTCCCCCTTCAGGGAACCAGACAGAGTAGTAGTCACAACAGATGCGAGCTTATTCGGCTGGGGAGGCCACTTGGGGACCAAGTGGACACAGGGCCGCTGGTCAGCGGTGGATCTCCGACACAACATAAACTGGCTCGAACTACGGGCTATTCACCTAGCGTTAAGGCATTTTCACAGCAGCATAAAAGGCAGGCACGTACTGGTCCTGACGGACAACGTGACAGCCAAGGCCCACATAAACCGTCAGGGGGGCACACACTCTCGCTCGCTCTCGGCCGAGGCCCTCCTACTGGGGGCCTGGGCGGAACAAAATCTGGCCTCCATAAAGGCCGACCACATATCGGGGGAGGCAAACATCCAAGCAGATCTGTTGAGCAGATCAACAATAGATCACTCGGAGTGGCAACTACACCCGAGGATCTTCAGGGAGATCTGTCACCGCTTCGGGCTTCCCCAGGTGGACCTTTTCGCCTCTCCTTCCAATGCCCACCTAACTCGCTTCTTCTCCCGATTCCCATCCAGGGGAGCAGAGCAGACGGACGCGTTACGGAGCCCATGGCCAAGGGGACTCCTGTACGCGTTTCCACCCTTACCTCTCCTTCCGGCGGTAGTACGCAAGATTCTGCGGGAAAGGGCCGAGGTAATCCTTGTGGCCCCTTATTGGCCAAGGAGACCTTGGTTCGCAGACTTGAGGAGTCTCTCCCACACAAATCCATGGCGGATTCCTCCGGAGAGGATCTCCCTCAAGTAGGGGGAGATCTTCCACCCAGAGCCACAATGGCTACAACTAGCCGTCTGGCTCTTGAATGGTCAATTTTAGCCAAGGGGGCTTGCTCACAGGGTGTAATTAGGGTCATACAGGCATCAAGGCGCCCCTCCACGAACCGTATCTACGAGGCCACATGGAGAAGCTTCCAATCATGGTGCTCTAAACAGGAATTGTTACTCGAAGGGATCACAGTTCCCAAGATCCTAGAATTTTTACTAGATGGCCTAGAGAGGGACCTCTCGCCAAACACGCTGCGCAGGCAAATCGCCGCCCTCTCAACTATACTTTCTGCCAGCCCCGGTGAATCCTTGGGCAAGCATCCCTTAATACGATCCTTCCTCAAGGGGGCTGCGAACATCAGACCGCCAACCGTGCACAGGTATCCATCGTGGGAACTACCACGAGTACTACAAGCTCTTACCAGAGCGCCCTTCGAACCACTCAAAACATGTGACATTCGCTACCTGACCCATAAGGTAGCATTCTTAGTAGCTATCACGTCAGCTCGATGGATATCCGAGTTAGCTTCTCTCTCAACGAGGAAGGACCTGTGTCATTTTCACAGGGACAAGGTAGTCCTAAGAATAGACCCTTCATTCATTCCAAAGGTCAACTCCTTTTTTCACAGATCACAGGAAATAGTCCTACCAGACTTCTGTCCAAACCCAGCTCATCCCCTGGAGCAACAATGGCACACCTTGGACGTACGAAGGGCACTAAGACATTACATTTCGCGCACAGCGGAATTCCGACGCTCGGAAGCGCTTTTCATATCCTTCCACCCCGCTAATAGGGGCCGGAAGGTCTCGTCCTCTACCATCGGTAGGTGGATTAGGGCATGCATCACTGGGGCATACCAGGCGGAGTCCTTGCAAGTCCCCAAGCATATTACGGCCCACTCCACAAGGAGTGCTGCCACCTCAGCAGCATGGGCCATGCAGGCTTCTATTGAAGAGGTATGCAGGGCAGCCACTTGGGCCTCGCCCTCTCCATTCATTCGCCATTACAAAATCGACAAGTACTCCTCTGCAGAGGCCTCCTTCGGTAGGAGGGTTCTCCAGCAGGTTCTAGACCAAAGTTACACATGGGACCAGTCTATTCCCCAACCCAAGGGACAATAGGCTTTGGTATGTCCCACTGCGTGGATTATCCATCTCCAGTGCTGGAGAAGGGGCGTTGACTTACCTGAACGCCTTTTCTCAGCACTGAGATGGATAATCCACACCCACCCTTATAGACTAGGATAATAGGGTATATTTAGTGGAGCCAAAACGTCTTACTGTCAGTCAATGGCTGCGCTCGAGTCAAGACTGGAGAATCATGGTCCAGGACAGGGCGTGGCAACTTTGGCTGACTGATCTGATTGGCCAGGAATACAGTCTCAACCCACTGCGTGGATTATCCATTTCCGTGCTGAGAAAAGGCGTTCAGGTAAGTCAACGCCCCTTTTGGACAGTATTCTTATAAATCATGTATATCAGAGGTCCCCAACGGGCACCATGGACCGGTGCCATGGAAAAAGGTTTTTCCGTGGACCAGACAGGATATGGTTTTGAATACTGCCTGTATCCCGAGGATGGAGCTTTGCTTGTTTGTGTGGCCTGCTTGCTGGCATGTTGTGGACCAGTGCCAGTCCAGAGACTGGGGGCTGGAGACCCTTGATGTATATGACCTTCTGATCTATAAATAAATAAGCAATTTCTTAATTTATGGGGGGGGACAACCTGGCCTAATTATGACTATTTTATCCAAGATCAAATAATAAAGAGATTAATCAAGTTTGTGTTATTTTTCTACCACTAGCTTAAGAAGGCCAGTCAGACCAGCGGAGGAACAGTTGGGCTCTTTACCTATCCTGTCCTTCAAGCGGCAGATATTCTTCTCTACAAGTAAGAATGATAATTTCCCTATTTGCAGATGGAATGCCTGTAATATAATGTGTCAGAGAAAAGATACAACTGAATTATTGAGAGCATTCACCTCCTCACAAGAGAATGGAACCATCCATGGAGCAGATCCCCTGCCCTCCACCTTACGAAATGTGAGGTTCTCTGTAGCAGATCTTATGGAGAGTACTGCTGAAAGTTTGGAAGGAGAACAAAATAAAATTTCCTTCTGCTCCAGCTTCTGTAAACTACCAGCAAATCTAATTGTTCTTGTTAGCACTCATTCTTCAGTTTTCTGAAGGAATTTGAAGTAAGCAGATAAGATGACATAGTTTTCTTCTTCATTTGAAAGGTCAACACATGTTCCTGTTGGAGAAGATCAAATCCTCCACTTGGAGCTGACTCAAGATACAGCCCGCCACTTCAACAAGAAATATGGGGAGTTCTTTCCAGTACCCAAAGCCCTTTTAAGTGAGTAAGAAGAATAGCAAAAAGCATAATGAGCTGCTGGTTGAATAATATCAATATGTTTTGGATGGGAGGAGGAGGATTGGGCAACTATCAAAGAAAAGAAAATTCAACAATGAATCTTTTTGTCAGTCTGAAACAAACATATGTCATCATTCCAACTGGAAAAATATTTGCAAGGCCACAAAAGCTATATAAAAGGCTGCCTGTCAGATCTAGAGAGTAGCTTGGTACTCTGCATCTCAGGATCATCCAGCCACTCTGCATCTGATGAAGTGAGTTGCAGCTCACAAAAGTTTGTGACTTAGATGTTTTATAGATGGCACCTTCCCCCTACAAGGCTAGCAAAAATAGATTTAAAAAAACCTCACCAACATGCTGGAAATGTAGAAGGCTTCCAGGGACTTACTATCACATGTGGGAATGTTCAAAGGCGCAAAATTTTTGGAATCAGATAAAAAATTGGCTAGAAGAAATACGATTACAAAAAAATTGATTTAAAACCAGAAATCTTCTTATTAGGGATTATTAATGATAGCAAAGCATCTTTCTACTTACTATTGCATATTTTAACCGCAGCAAGATTGGCATACGCCCAAAAATGGAAAGGAAAGGAAACCCCCACTGAGGAAGAAATAATAAATAAAATTTTATCCTGTGCTGAAATGGACAGGTTAACTCTAGAGATGAAAAATAAAACTGAAACAGAGTATTATGAAATTTGGAAAAATTTGTACGATTGGTTAGAGATAAAGAGGATCGCTGAGATGATTATTGATTGACTAGTTGACATTATAAGAACTTCTTATTAGTACTTATATTAGAACACAACTGAATGATATGTAAATACAATGTTGATGATTGAAAGATGGTTTATCAAAAAATTTACAGATGTTATACGCACAGTTTGTTATACTCTGTCCTGTTATAGAATGTATTTTAAGTTTCTGTTTTTCTTTCTGTAACATAAGGTAATACTAATAGCACTGTTGAAGGCAGGGAAGTTGAATCATGTCCATTTTTGTTTTTAAAATGTACATTTAATAAAATTTGTAAAAAAAAAAAGTTTGTGACTTAAAATCAAAATTGGTGAGTCTTAAAAGATGCTACCAGACTCTTTCTGATTTGGAGCTATGCTAGACTAAAATGGCTCTTTTCCTATAGTATGTACAGGTTGTAATTTCCTATTTTCTTCTGATTCTAGCCCCAGCCAAAAAAGTGAAGTCTCTCAGAGATCCCACATCGAAGATGTCAAAATCAGACTCCCATAAATTAGCCACAGTGGGTATCACTGATAGTCCTGAGGAGATAAAACTGAAATTTCGCAAGGCTGTCACAGACTTTACCTCTGAAGTGACCTATGATCCTGAACACCGCCTAGGAGTCTCCAATCTTGTGGCTATTCACTCTGCTGCAGCAGGACTTAGCACAGAGGAAGTGGTACAGCAGAGTATTGGCCTCGATACGGCCCATTATAAGGCTGTGGTGGCTGAAGCGGTCATCGAAAAACTTGCACCAGTTAGAAATGAGTTCAAGAGACTAAAAGAAGAGAAATCTTACCTGGAGGAGGTTCTGTCGTCCGGAGCAGAAAAAGCCAGAGAACTTGCAACTCCTGTGTATTGGGAAATTAAAAGATTGGTGGGGTTGAACTGAATCCAAGAAAAAGTAGCTAGCATCTTTCATTACTTCAGTATGCGCCTTATTGTATTTTACAGTCCTCTGTTTTGAAGGTCCAAAAGAAGATTGATTGTCAGATCTTTCCTTTACACGTATGGTTATTCCTTGAGTTACAACAGTTCAGTTAGCGACCGTTCAAAATTACGACACCCTTCCCCCCAAAAAAAGTATTTACAACCCCATCCCGAAGTTACGCATGTTGCAGCACTACAGTGGTCATTTGCCCTTACGACCGACCGCAGAGACGCTTCAACATGCCCCCCGCCTATTTCTCTCCACGAGGGCCTGCAGGTTTAGGTTGGGCTCAGGTTGGGCTCCAAGCAGCCTTCTACTTGCTGCTGATTGGCTAGTTCGAATGAGCAGCTTCAAGGATTGGAGCAGCAGCAGTATCCAATCAGTGAGAAGCTTGCAGTTCAGCCCGATGAGACAAAGCAAGCAAGCTCTTTGTTGATTGGCTGCTGCTGCTGCCCCAATCCCTGAAGCTGTCCTGAAGCAGGAGGCCCTGCCCAGGCCTTTTCTACTACCAGAGGCCTGCTGGCCCCATGGCCCCCAGCCAAAGTCTTTTACTCAGAGACTGGCAAAAATGTTTTCCTTAGATTTCACGTGCTCACAGCTTTGCCATAATCTGAATAAAACACTTCAGCTTCTCTGCCATGTACCAGCCTCTTCTGGAGCACTGGAGATCTTCAAAAAGTAAGTAATCCATCAGGGTGGGAAGGAGTAAACAGGGATGCTAGCAAAGTAGGTCCAGTTCTGTAGTGACCTGGGGGGCCGGATGGGGGGAGCAATTGTGGGGACCCAGTGGAGCATGAGGTGTCTCAGTGGATAGGGGGAGGCCTTGGGTGGCTTGTTCCAGCCACAGCCTCCCCCCACATGGTCTTCCCCACCTTGAGATATCTCATGTGCCTTTAACAACCTGTGCATCTGATTAGCGAATGCATTGGGGAAAGCATGGAGTGATCATGTTCATTTAATGTGATTCAATCAAACAAATCCTTGGGGTTTGAATGTAATTGGCAGGTTCCATTACATTCATAACTTGAGGATTACCTGTATTAATTTTTTTAGAGCCAGGTTTGGAGACTGCAAAGAGCCAAACCACATGCAATACAAGAAAGACATCTGAGTACGGTTAGGGTGGCTTCAAGGGCCAGGTTTCCCACCAGATAGATGATTATGTGGGGTGGACTGTCTGGAAGAAGCCCTGCCCATTTCTGCCACACAACAGTCTCTTTGGTTCACTAGTGGCTACAGTTAATCATTCCCAAGATCATTTCAGTGGAGAAGATAATTGCAGCTGATCTAGCTTTGGTCTGTTCTCAAGGACAGAAAACAGCAAGGCATTAAGAATTAAGATTTTTAAGAACCGTCTTCCTAGTCCAAGTAAAAATGCTGTGAAGCCAGCTCAAGTGAAAACTATTCTCTTAAAATAGTCCAAGCAAGTTACAATACTGTTGAGACTTTTTTTAAAAAAATGATCCCACTTTTATTATTTTTATAAATAACTCAAGGCAGTGAACATACCTAGTACACCTGCCGCCGCCTATTTTCCCCACAACTCCCCTGTGAGGTGAGTTAGGCTGAGAAAGAGTGGCCTGCCTAAATCACTCAGCCGATTTTCATGCCTAAAGCAGGACTAGAACTCACAGTCTCCTGGGTTGTAGCCTGGTGCCTTCACTAGTAGACCGCACTGGCTCTTTATTGCTCCCAGGTCTCCAGCAAAATGACAATAGCAGTTTTCATGACTGGAAAGACAAAAATATAGCAAAACCTCAAAAGGAGCTTTATCCTTTGGTGTGGCTCAGGAGTTCATGGCTTCCATGACAACCATGGACCTGACCCAGATAATTCAGGGTCCGACCCACAGGGGAGGACACACGCTCGAGTTGGTATTCCTCTCGGGGCAGTGGAGACGTGATTTCGATTTAAGGGGTATAGTTACTTCTCCCTTGTCATGGTCGGATCACTTCCTGTTGAGGTTAGATTTCTCAGTCCTACTCCCCCACCGCAGGGAGGCGGAACCGATTAGGTGGTTCCGCCCCAGGCGTTTAATGGACCCGGAGGGGTTCCAAATAGCGCTTGGGGGTTTTCCTGATTCCCTCCTCCACGAACCGGCTGAGTCCTTGGTCGCTTCTTGGAATAAGGCGGCATCAGGGGCGTTAGACCGGATCGCGCCTTTGCGACCTCTCTGTGATTGTGGATCCCGGAGGGCACCTTGGTTTACCGAGGAGCTACGGGAGATGAAGTGTCAGAAGAGACGTCTAGAGCGACGCTGGAGGGCTAGTAACTCCGAATCCGACCGGACACTTCTAAGAGCCTATATTAGGACTTATTTAGTGGTGATACGAGCGGCAAAATGTTCGCATTTTTCCGCACTTATTGCATCTGCAGAATCTCGCCCCGCCGCCCTGTTTAGGGTGACCCGTTCCCTACTTAACGTTCGGGAAGCCGGGGAGCCCTTACAGGGTAGAGCGGAGGAATTTGTGCAATTCCTATCAGACAAAATCGCTCGGATTCGGACAGACCTAGACTCCGATTGGGCAGGGCCTTCTGAGATGACTGGGGCAGGTCTTAGCTCAGTTTTATGGGATGAATTTGAGTCTGTGACCGCTGAGGATGTTGACAGCGGTGGGAGCAATGAGCGCCTCCACTTGTTTATTGGACCCGTGTCCTTCCTGGTTGGTCTCGGCTGCCAAGGAGGTGACATGAGGCTGGCTCCAGGTGTTGATCAACGCTTTGTTGAGGGAGGGGTCTTTCCCGCAATCCTTGAAGGAGGCGGTTGTGAGGCCCCTTCTCAAGAAGCCTACCCTGGACCCGGCTGACTTAAATAACTTCCATCCAGTCTCCCCTTTGTGGGGAAGATTGTAGAGAGAGTGGTGGCGCTCCAGCTCTGACGGTCTCTGGATGAAGCGGATTATCTAGACCCTTTTCAATCTGGCTTCAGGCCCGGCTTCAGCACAGAAACCGCTTTGGTCGCACTGATGGATGATCTCTGGCAGGCCCGAGACGGGTTATTCCTCTGTCTTGGTGCTACTTGACCTCTCAGCGGCTTTTGATACTATCTATCATGATATCCTTTTGCGATGACTTGGAGGGGTGGGAGTGGGAGGCACCATTTTACGGTGGTTCTCCTCCTACCTCTGGCCGGTTGCAATCGGTACTGGTGGGGGGGGGCAGAGGTCAACCCCGAGGCCCCTTGAATGCGGGGTGCCACAGGGGTCGGTCCTCTCCCCCCTATTTAACATTTACATGAAGCTGCTGGGTGAGATCATCAGACAGTACGGGGTGAGGCTTCATCAGTATGCTGATGATACCCAGTTATATATCTCCTCCCCGAGCTCTCTCAGTGAAGCGGCCGATGTGATGGGCCGTTGCCTCGAAGCCGTGAGGGTCTGGATGGGGGTTAACAGACTCAGGCTCAATCCTGACAAGACCGAGTGGCTTTGGATGTTGCCACCAGACATGTTGACTGTCCGGTGTTGACTCTTGCGGGGGAAAATATATCCCCTTCGGAGTGGGTTCGCAACTTGGGTGTCCTCCTTGATCCACAGCTGAATTTGGAACATCATTTGATGGCTGTGGCTGGGAGGACCTTTGCACAAGTTCGCCTGTTGCACCAGTTGCAACCCTACCTGGACCGGGAGGCTCTCCTTACAGTCACTCATGCCCTTGTCACCTCACGTCTGGACTACTGCAACGCGCTCTACATGGGGCTACCCTTGAAAAGTATTCGGAGACTACAGTTGGTCCAGAATGCAGCCGCGCAAGTGATAGTGGGTGTTCCTCGATACACCCACGTTACACCTATCCTCCGTGAGCTGCACTGGTTGCCTATTGGTCTCTGGGTCCAATTCAAGGTGTTGGTCATTACCTTTAAAGCCCTATATGGCTCAGGGCCAGGCTATTTGCGAGACCGCCTACTACCTCATAGTTCCCTACGTCCGGTTAGATCCCACAGGCTGGGCCTCCTTCAGGTCCCGTCAGCCAAGCAGTGCCATTTGGCGGGGCCGCGGAGGAAGGCTTTCTCTGTGATTGCGCCCACGTTTTGGAACCAGCTCCCCCCGGAGATTAGGACCGCTCCCACCCTGTTGGTTTTCCGTAAGCTGCTTAAGACCTGGCTTTTCCGGCAGGCCTGGGGTTTATAAAATCTGACTCCTGGATGACTGTTCTTGTACTGTTTGTTTTGTTATGTTGTATGTGTTTTTTATTGTTAGCCGCCCAGAGTCCTCTGGGAGTGGGGCGGCTTATAAATTTTAAAAATAAATAAATAAATAAAAATAAATCTTGAAGAAGCCCAGTGAAGTGATGGCTTAGAGCAGGGGTTCTCAACCTTAGCAACTTTAAGACTTGTGGACTTCAATTCCCAGAATTCTGGGAGTTGAAGTCCACAAGTCTTAAAGTTGCCAAGGTTGAGAACCCCTGACTTAGAGGAAGAAGGAAGTTCAATATGGTTTGAGGTCCCAGGGATAAGTTTGGGGGAGTAGATATTTCAGAGTTTGCCCATGGAATCTGAAGATTCCTTAATCGCTTCTTTCATCTTCCCCTTTCCACAGTGTGAAAGCTGCTCTAGACAACCTAGGCTTGAGTGACAACAGTGGTACATGATTCCAGTGTGGTGGTGGTTTAGAATATTCTGCCTTCCTAATGCAGGCTTCGGTTGTTGCATAAGAAAGTCTCTCAGGTCATTTTATTCTGTTACAGAGCTCACGAAAAGAGGAAATGGCACTTATTCTCTAAAATATATTTTGGGAAAAGTCAGTCACATACCTCTGGATATTTGAAAAGGGAATGCTGAGTGTATGTATTCTTTCTCAGAACAGAGAAGTTATTTCTTCCATAAGATGTGAACCGCATCCATACATCTTTCTTCTAATATGTTTGCAAGTTTACGTATTTGAAGTGCAGCTTAACCTATAGAAAACAGGACAACGTTATTATATTGTGGAAGCTTGGCAGGCAGAACAGCCTCTGCTTTATGAACTTAGATTTTTTTTTTATGTGCAGCCAAACTGGTTCTGAAACAGACATCTTCAAGTTTTTGTGCCTTACGTAAGAGTGTGAGCAAAAGACTGCAGCCAGAGCCAGGG